CTCTACTCCTAATCCCAGAGGAGAAATGCAAAACAGATTCTAGTGCCTTCACTCCAACCCCAGGATAATAAAGACAGAAATACCTTCAGCCTGCCACCCCCACCCCAGGTTGGGTCCAGGGAACCTGTGACTGGTCAGTTTTCCTCCCTCCCTCACTGGTCTCGCAGCATCCCACTTTATCTCTCTGGAATCAGCTCTGGCCAGAGTGGCATCACTGAAAGCCAGGCCAAGGTCTCCAGGGTCTTGGTTCAAGTGTAGAGGCTGGGGAGGTGGGATAAGTGCAGAGAAGAAACCCAAGTCAGAGTCCCCAAAGGCAGGCTACCTTTTAGGGGGCCCAGTGGGAACTCAGTCACTCTGGGGCACAGGAGAGCCTCTACCTCCCTCCAGGAGGTCAGACACCACCAGGAACTTTCCAGCGCAATTAGCCTCCAGGTCAGAGTTAGGGGGTGACCTGGCCTGAGGGCCCAAGGAGTTTGAAGAAACCTGGCTTGGACTAGAGTGCCTTGGGAAAGGGGGAGGAAAGGGGCTCGAACCTGTGACGGCTGGAAGTCCTCTGGGCAGTGTGTGGCCCGCCTGGGTCCCACTGGGGAGTGACAGCCTCCTAGCCACCTGCCTGCCCCAGCAGCCCTGACATTGGGGAACAAAAGCTTTCGGTTCCTTTAGCAACGGGCGGCTCCAGCTGCTGCAAAGTTCCGGGGAGGTGGGCGGAGGGCGGCTGAGTCACCGCCCCCTCCCCCCACTGCCCGCCTGGCACCGCCCCTGGGGGCTAAGGGCTGACCCCCATCCCTCTCCGGGTTCTGCCCGCCTTTTCCTCCTAAGGTGTGCGGGAGGACCCCGGAGCCCCCCCAACCCCGGCAGAGAGAGCCCAGAGAGTGGCGGGGAGCGACCTTCTCTGGCATTCGGAGGGGGAGGGCTGCACGGGTTGGGGTCGTCACTCTTACCCCTGGGTCCAGTCCACCAGCTCGGGAGGCAGGATGGAGGGCGTGCGCCCTCCTGGATGCCAGAGCTCCGGCAGAGAGCTCCCTGAGGACCCTGTCCTCAGGTCGGTGCACGGGCAGGGTAGCCGAAGGCCCCGAGTGGGGGTCCCCACCTGCGTGGCAGCCTGGGCTGGGCCCGGCAGTGAGCGCCCAGGAGGCGGAGGGTGAGTGACGGGCGGGCGAATTGGAGCTGCCAGGTGGATAAACGCGACGGATGTGCGCGTTGCCTCGCCCCTCCCCCACTCGCCACCCCTCCCCCGCCCGCGGCAGGGGCTCCAGGCTCCCCGCGGCCTAGCATCCCTGTTCATAGCTGGCCCATGGGAGTCAATCCCGGGGATCCCACCCGGCCCTAGCCCTGAGGTCCCCCTCCCCCGCCACTCTCCACTCCCCGCATCTCTCCAGTCGCGTCTTGGCCCTCCAGCTGCTGCGAAAGCCTTGGATTCCTTTATTGGTGCAGAAGGGAAGCTGGGGAGGCCTGTGGGTCAGAGAAGAAGGGGACTCAAGAGTGGTGGGCAGAGAGTGGGATTCTTGGGTCTGTTGGGGGTCAGGGGCATGTGATGAAGGGGCCCTGAGCTGGAGGAGAGGGTCCCTGAGACAGACTACTCCAGCCGGCTCCTCATCCAACACAGCCCAGAGAGCTTCTGAGGCAGAGGTCTTTCCATCCTGTCCATCAGCCTGCCCTGGTCCAGGGAGTTCTTACTCAGAGCCCACCTCTGCACCTCCTCTCCCTAACTCTTGTTCTTGGCCGGACTTGTGGTCTTACTGGGCTTGGAGGTGGCAAAGCCATTCTTGTGATTCAGCCCAAAGAGCCTTCCCAGAGGCAGTGACCTCAGCAGGCAAGAGGGGAGCGAGGTTCTGAGCAGAGGGAGGGGAGACAGGGCTGGGGCCAGCCTCTGTGTGGGGAACTTGTGTGCGGAGGCCGAATGGGAAGGTGTATGCAAACCTGAGGTCAGGGATCATGGTCTCCATTCCACAGAGAGGGAAACTGAGGCTCAGGGAGGTTAATCATGGCTAATAAACACTTGGGCTGCTGTGAGGCAGGGATGCTTCTAGGTCCTTCCAGGGGGTGGCTCAGGGAAAGAGCTCTGGGTCAGTTACCCCAGGAGGACACCTGGCCACACACATGCAGGAGGATCTTGAATGAATCCACGACTCTGTCTCTGACCCAGCTTGGAATTGGGTCTTTGCCTTATTTGGGGGGGGGGGCAAGTGATATCAAAAGGGGCCCCTAGGAGGTCTTACACTGAAGCAGGAACAATGGGGGCCACACACACCCAGGGCGAAGTCCCACAATGGGCGTGGAGGTATCTGCTGGAGACTGAGGGGAGGAGGGGGCTTGGGTCAGGTTTAAAGAGGCTCAGTTCTGGACACGCCAGGCTGTGGCTCTGAATGGTGTGGTCCTGGTGCTTCGTGATGGGCTGGGGCTGTGGAGTAGGGAGCAGCAGAGGCCCAGGCAGCAGGTCCAGGGGTCTGAGCCCCTGGCTTCAGAAACACAAAGGAAGGAGCAGCTGGGCAGATCCCACCTAACACTAGCTGTCATGTGCTGAGCCTCAGAGGGTGGAACACCTGTGTGTGCTTACACTTGAGAGTGCATGTGCATCTCTGCACATGTGTGCAAGTGTCCGACTCTACACCCGTGTATGTGTAAGTGTGTGCACCCCTGAGTGCACCCGAGGTCATGCATCTATGGTTTTTACCTGTCTGTGCATGTCTGTGTGCATTTGTATCTGTTCATACGCAGAGCACCTGTGAACGTCTGTGCATGCATGCTTTTGTGTATCCTGGGGCACAAGGATGTTCAAGCCCAGGTGTGTTGGTGTGTGAGTGAGGGGAGGTTCCCCATCCTGCTTGAAGTGGGGGAGGGGAGGCCAGTTTTAATAAGCCCCCACCCCCCCTCTACTGAGCTGCAGCCATGGCCTGAATTTTGCAGCCTGCTTAAAAATAATTGGGGGCAGCGGGGGGATTGGATGTCACTCATCATCAGCCGCTGGCTTTGCTAGTGCCGCAGCAGGCTGGGCGGGTTGAACAGTTTGGGACAGGCATGATGTAGGGCAGAAAAGGCCAGGGGTCTGGTCCCTTTTGCTGCTCTGAGGAGGGGGGTGGGTGCGTGGGGGAAGAAACAAGCCTGTTCTGGCTTCTGCTGAATACCTACAGGGGCATCCTTAGAAGAGGTGGGGCAGCTCCTCCCCAGTGAATGGGTCTGCCTCAAGCTTGCCTCCCCCACCATTCCCCCCGCCGCCCCCTGCACCCCTTGTGCGGCTGGGGAAGGGAGGTGTGTGTTTGTGGTGATGGGGGCTTTGGCCTGGCTCAGAGGTGCAGCATGTGGAATATGGGAATCTGGGACAGCGAGGTGCTCCACGGATGCTGCACAGGGATTGGAATGCTGGGGTTCTAAATTTCAGCCCCCCTCTTCCCGCTACTTAGACTCCTTAATAGCAAAGGGGAAATCTGTCCCTAGGGAGCCGCTGTGTCTTGGGAAAATCTAGCCACACCTGTGAATTATCCTATGTTTGTGACTCAGTTCCCAGAGCTAACAGCTCGTCCATCTGGCCTGAAGCCTGAGCAATGAGCAAAGGGAAGGAGCAGAGGCTGCTCGTGGAGGGGAGACGGGCCCGGCTCCTGGTCCCAGCTTGCCCACTTTCATGTGATCTTGAGCAGGTTGCCTCCCTGCTCTGAGCCTCATCTTTCCTCCTCTCCCATCGACCAGCTGGGCTCCAGGGGCCCATGCAGTGCTGTGAGCCGTCCATGGCATGGAGGCGGGTGGCGTTGTGGATCCGTGGGGCTCATCCAGACTATGCCCCAGGCTCTGTTTTCTGGACAGTTGAGTAGAGGCTGGCAGGCTGTGGGCAGTGGCTCAGCCCTGGCCTGGTGGGTGGGAGGGCACTTGCAGCTCTCTCCTGGCCCTTACCCACTCTGACCTGACTGCTCTGTGTGTCTGTCAGGGTAGGGCTTAGGTCCTAGGGGCCCTCCCACACCTGGAGTACATTCACATCTGCGGGGAGCTCAGCTTAGTGCACCACTTCGAGGAAGATAGAAATCAACAGACTCTGGTCCCCACTCTGGTCCCTGATGACTGGAGATGAGTGAGCAAGCCCTGGGGAAATAGCACAGGACAGGAGTCAGGATTGGCCGGTGGCTTCACGGGGGGTAGCAGGCCCTGAGCCAGACCTTGGAGGATAACCCCATGGAGGCAGAGGGGAAGAGGGAGGTAAGAGGGGAATTGATGCACCCATTTTACAGATGAGGAAACTGAGGATCACAAGGGTGACCTAGCCAGTAGGTGGCTGGCTGGGCTGGGGCTCAAGCCCAGCATTCCCTTGCTTGCATCTGTGCCCCTTATTCCAGCTGGGACATCTGAAGCAGAGATACACATGATGTCCACACTGGCAGTGTCCTCCTGTGGGCACGGCTCAGGTTGTGCACAGTCCGTGACACACTGGCTATAACTCCACCCCTTTCCCTCCCACTCAGTAAAGCAAATGAGCGAGAATGACATTGTTCCAGGAATAACCTTGAATTCCTCTGATTTATAAAAAAGCAAATCGTAGTCAAACACCACCACTTTGACAATTACCACTGGATTATACGTGACACGCGTCACATTGGGACCGAGAACAACAGTTCTGGAGAATGAAGGCTGAGTGGTGGGGACGGGGCTGGGTCTGAACGTCAGGCCGAGACGCCTGTGGAACCGTAGATTAGCAGTAACAGCAACAACCGGTGTTTCTCGGGGGCATACAAGCTTCCAGGCCCTCTCCTGAGCCTCTTCTCTCACTTGTCTCATTTTACTCTTGTAGGAAACCTGTGAGATAGGTACTACCATTGCTCCATTTTGCAGGTAAGGGAACTGAGGCTCAGAGAGGTCAAGTCCCTTGTCTAAGAGCACTCATGTGGGCCCGGCTGACTTAAAAGAACAAGGTCTCAACCGCGAGGCCCACTCCCTACAGCCAGGCATAGGAGGCTGAGAGCCCATGCTGGTTGCACCGGGGGCCCGCTGACTACTGTCTCTCTCCACAGGGCAAGGGACATAGGATGACCCCAGCCTGTCCCCTCTTACTGTCTGTGATTCTGTCCCTGCGCCTGGCCGCCGCCTTCGACCCCGCCCCCAGTGCCTGCTCTGCCCTGGCCTCGGGTGTGCTCTACGGGGCCTTCTCGCTGCAGGACCTCTTTCCCACCATCGCCTCGGGCTGCTCCTGGACCCTGGAGAACCCTGACCCCACCAAGTACTCCCTCTACCTGCGCTTCAACCGCCAGGAGCAGGTGTGCGCACACTTTGCCCCCCGCCTGCTGCCCCTGGACCACTACCTGGTCAACTTTACCTGCCTGCGGCCTAGCCCCGAGGAGGCGGTGGCCCAGGTGGAGTCGGAGGTGGGGCGGCCGGAGGAGGAGGAGGCGGAGGCGGCAGCGGGGTTGGAGCTGTGTGGCGGCTCGGGCCCCTTTACCTTCCTGCACTTCGACAAGAACTTCGTGCAGCTGTGCCTGTCGGCTGAACCCTCAGAGGCCCCGCGCCTGCTGGCGCCTGCGGCCCTGGCCTTCCGCTTTGTCGAGGTCTTGCTCATCAACAACAACAACTCCAGCCAGTTCACCTGTGGTGTGCTCTGCCGCTGGAGTGAGGAGTGTGGCCGCGCTGCTGGCAGGGCCTGTGGCTTTGCCCAGCCGGGCTGCAGCTGCCCTGGTGAGGCGGGGACTGGCTCCACCACCACCACGCCTCCAGGCCCTCCTGCTGCCCACACCCTGTCCAATGCCCTGGTGCCCGGGGGCCCAGCCCCACCTGCCGAGGCCGATTTGCACTCGGGGAGCAGCAATGATCTGTTCACAACCGAGATGAGATATGGTGAGTCTGAGCAGGGCCTGGGTGAGGTGGGGTCTCTAGGGGCTGATGGTATCCACTGGTGTCTGTCCTGGCAGATTCCGGGCCGTTCATGGAGTTCACCAATGTCACTTGTGTTCAGCCTTGTTCAGATGTTGGGGTCACCAAAGTGGATTGGAGTCAGACCTCACTCTTGAAGAGTTTGCAGCCTGGGTGGACGAATGGTGGGCACAGATCAGATAAGGCAGAGTGATATATGAACCGAGGAGCGGACCCCCAAACTGGGCAGCCAGGGGAGGACCCTGCAGGAAATGATCCAGGAACAGAGATCTGAAGGACGAATGGAAGTGAGCTGAGCCGAAGGAGTGGCGAGGGCCTTCTAGGCAGGGGGAGTCGTGTACACAGAGGCCCAAAGCTGAGAATGACCCTGGCAGGCCCTGGCACTGCAAGTTGACAAGTTTGCCTGCAGGCTGGAGTCGGCAGGGAGCAGGGATGCGTTCCCGTCCACATAGGTCAGTGCTTTTTGGCAGTGGCCCCAGGGTCAGGGCAGAGGGAAGTGAGAAAGAGTGTGCCTGGGTGAAGAGGCCTGAGCTTCCAGGCTGCCTTGGAGGGCTGGGCTGGCTCAGCTCCCAGTGTCCCTCTCTCCCCCCTCTGGGCCCATGTCTTCTGGGACCGAGGCTGCCAGCTGCTAGGAGCTTCCTGCTGACTGGGCAAAAGCTCTGCGAGCCCTCGTGTCCTGCTCCCACTCCCACCCCAGTTCCCTTGGCCATGGCCGCCTTCCGCCGACCCTGCTTTCTACAGCTTCAAGGCCTGAGCGCCTCAGCTGGATGCTGTGTGCACGCTGACCAGTGCTGGGCCGGGGACTGGCCAGGAGGCCTGATGAGGTGGGAGGGAGACAGGTCTGGGATTTAGTCTCCTGCTCTGGTACTGACAGGGAGGCCCCTCCCCTCTCTGGGCCTCCCTATCAGTACCAGAGCAGTTTCCCCGTTTCGGATAACAGGTGCTGGCCTACCCTTGTGAGGATCACAGGGATGGAAGTTGGAAGGGACAACTGGATTTCACTGAGAGGCAGGGGGTCTTGTGTGAGGGCTGTCGGGGCGTTGGAGGAGTATCGCCTGTCCCCATCCTTTGGAGGCGAGAGCCCTAGAATTGGGCACTGCCTGTGACTGTTACCTTAAGTAGATCCCTTTATTTTTGGGAGGAGGCATCAGTTTCTTTGTCTGTAGAATGGAGAGATGTCCCTGAATTGATTAGAGGGGGTAGTTATCATGACAGTAGCCTCTCCCAGTGCTTTGGAGGGGGGCCTTCTTGGCCTCCCCATGAGACATCTGCCATCATGCCCATCCACGGCAAGTGCCCAGTGGCCTTGCTGTGGCCTCTCTCCCAGGCTAGCTTGGCCTCTAACAATGGTCGATGAAGCCATCCTAGTGACAGCCAGACTGCGGGCAGGTTATGGACCCTGGAGGCTGGCCTGGGATTTAGTGCCTGCAGGAAGAAATTGAATTTCGCTTCTTTGTCGAACATCGGCGTAGAACACCAGGCGTATATCAGGAGGTTTATGGCTCTTCCTGCCTGGCTGCCACTGCCTGTCACTTTGTGGGGGTCTTCCCCATTGTGATCAGCTAAGGACGGGTTCTTTTGTCTGGCTGTCTCTGTGGTCCATTGGCCCAGTGGTCTGCAGTGGATGGAGCAAGGCTCTGCCCTCATGGGCGGGCACCCACTGGGCAGGCTGCCATGGGGAGTGCAGAGCCAGGAGCAGCCAGCTGGACTTGGCTGAAGCCGGAAGCAAGAGTTGGTTGGTAGCTGGGGTGTCTTCGGGGGTCAGAGAGGGCCGGCGATGGGAAGGGCACCATCATTAGAGCCTCTGTAGGGGCCTTTGGGACTGGAGATGGGTGGAGATTGGATGCCAGATTATTCCTGGGCACAAGGCCAGGTGTCATCTCTGAGCACGGAGCCCTGAGCTGGGGCTCCCAGCTGTTTCCCAAGCCTGACCTCTGCTCTTGTCCCTTGTCCTACTTGGCATGTCTCCTGGGATTGCTCTGCAGGGAAGGCCCCTGTAGAGAGTTTGCATGGGGTGATGTGGCATCAGCTGTCATAAGTGGGCTCACATGGCACGCTGGTGCCCAGAGCTGGGCTGGCATAGCCCCTTCCCCTCCCCTGGCAGGCAGGAGGCTCTTCTGCTCTGCCACCTCCTCCCTCCCATCCAGGCTTTCTGGTGCGAGAGATGGCTTGAGAGACTCAGTTTGTTCCATGTGTCAGGGTGTGTCTGAGAGCCTGTGGCACCGTCTGTGCCTGGTGGCAGCACCACCTTTGCCAAGCCCTTGGCCCCCTCCATACCTCCTCTTGTTTCCTCCCCACTGGGCTGCAGGAGAATGGGCTGGCACCTGAAGCTGTCAGATCGAGATGCAGATTCGTGGGATGGTGGTGAACAGGAAGCGTGAGATCCTTTGTGCTGGCCCGTCTGCTGGGCACTAGGGCAGGGGAGCTGTGTTCACCCTCTCTGGGACACCCCTGAGTAGGATCCACAGCGAGGCCAAGCAGGGTGAGCTTGGGTTGGTACCGGAAGAGCAATGGGCCTGGAGGCTGGTGGGCAATGACCAGGCGGAGTGCCTGGGCCTCCTCAGAGCCGAGTGCATTTGACAAGAGGGTACAGGCGTCTGTTAATTTCACGCAAACTGCCTTTGATAGATCTCTTGTTATTTTTGGTGAGTTGAGCCATAAATTTGTGCCATCTTGCTGCCGCAATCTGTTAAGTGGGGGGAAAGGAAGAACGGGAAGGCAGGCAGGAAGGAGCTTGGTGGAGGACTGGCACGGAGGCTGGCTGAGGCTGGGGCTGGAAGGCGGGTCGCAGAGGTAGTGCCAGCTGCAGAGCCTGGCTTCTGTGGGCCGGCTCCCAGCCTGCAGCTCCCACCCACTGCCCCGCCAATCCTGAGCAGGCAACTGCTGCACTCCCTGCCTCCCCCCAGGGCACTGTCCGCCCTTGGCTGCTTGCTGCTGCCTCACCCTCCCTGGTCATCCAGGCTCTATTCTCAAGGTGTGGCCATCGGGGAGCCTGGGGGCTCCTGGGAGGCATGCGTGGGTTCCACTCCCCACTCTGCCGCTGCCGTTGTGTGACCTGGACAAGGTGCTGCCCCTCCTCGGGCCTCAGGACCCCCAGTTCTCTATGTGTCACTCCTTGATCCAGCCCCCAGTGACTCCCCAGTGCTGCCCGAACTCCCAGCCTGGTATTCAAGCCACCCTGGACCCAGCTGCCACCTGCTGGAATTCACTCCTGCCCTTTGACTCGAGGCTCCTCCCCTAGAATGCCCTTTGCCCTTGGTTATCCAGAACTCCCCCATCCTTCTAAGTACAGTGCATGCCCTGTCCCCTTGAGGAAGCTGCCTCTGACCCGCCCAACCCAATCCTAAGATTGGCCTTTCTCCTCTCAGTGCTCAGGCCCCGCTTTTCTCTCTGGCCAGCTTGCCCTGGTGTCAGGAAGTGGGGCCCACCCTGCCTGTTTGGGGCTTAGATGGCAAGGCATGGGAAGAGCCCTAGCACATGCAGTGGCATTTCCTGTGCTGTCGGAGTTCTGTGTGCTCTCTCTCAGGACGGGGAGTGGGCACGGACTTCCCCGGACCTGTCAGCGGGGACTGAGTCCCGGCCAATCCCTCACGCACATCTTCATGTCTTTGTCAGAGTGGAGTTTGCGCCAGGCCTTGGGCCGACTCTGAGGTCAGAGGTGAATGAGGCATACTTTCTGCCCTCCGAAGGGAGAGAGTGACCATTAGTGTTCAGCAGTGGTCAAGGCCACAGACTGAAGTTGTCACCCAGTCCTGGGTTCAATTCCTGACCCCACCACTCACTGGCTGTGTCCCTGTGGACAAGTTACTTTCCCCCATTTCATCACCTGTAAAACGGAGGTAGTGAGAGCCATTCCACAGAGCGACGGGGAGCACTAAGCGGGAGGTGGCGGGAAAGTGCTTAGCTCAGTGCCTGGCACATGGCGGATTCCTAGTAAATAGCTGGGGGATCATCATAATCTCATGTAATGGGTACAGTTTGTGCCTGGGGGAGGAGGAAGAGTAAGAGAGGATCAGACCACAGCGGGGAGGAAGGCGGTCTAAAGGTGATTCAGAGTTGGATTTTGGGGAATGAATAGGAATTCACTAGCCCGTGAAATTTCTCTTTAAATTGAGTCACTTTTTAAATTTAATATATTAAAAAGAAATTTCATATCATAAGTAGAAAGAGTATCACTTAGCTGCAATAGAAGATAGCCAAAGAAACAACTGCAGTGAAAACAAAGCGACGTTATTAAATTCTAGCTGGATGCTGTTCCGGCCTCTCCATTTGTTAGAAAGAGAAATCAGCACGTGTTGAGGATGTGTTATGGTCTAAGGCTGCACAGAGACTTTATCTTTCGTGCATGTGAAAGGATTAAGGTGACAACATAACTTTTCATCTAAACTGGGACATTTGAGGTTATAAAGGGGAGAAGGTGGGTTAATTACATCAGGACAAAGGCATAAACCGGACTGTCCCGGACAAATTGGCAAATAGTCACCCTCATTAAAAGAGCCCCGGAAAGAGCCTGACTTCCTCAGTCGAGGATCCAGCGTCATTTAATGGCACGTCTGTGAGCTGCCCCCAGCCATCTCCCGCCCCGTGCTTTGGGAAAGCCCGCACGAGGAAGGGCTTTCGAGGTAGAGGAAACAGCCTGTGCAAGGGCGTGGAGGTGTGAAATATGCCGAGTGTAGGAGCTATGAGGAGACTGCGGCTGCTGGATGGTAGCCCTAGGGGAGGGAGATGGGGCCAGGCCTTGGACTGCCATCCCAAGACACCGGGACCTCATCTTGTTGGCCAAGGGCTTTATAGCAGCAAGAAACTGGGCGTCGTGTGGGAGGCAGGCTGAGTCGGACATAGTCCCTGCTCTCGAGGAGCTTCTGGCCACATGGGGGAGGTGGCAGGGACCCAGCTAGCCCCGGTGGGAGGCTGGGGGGATAGGTCGGCAGCTTGGACAGGGAGATCACTGGAGGGGGACTGGC